AAAAAATTAAAAAAAAAAATACTTTCCTCAGTTTCTTATTAATTGAAATTAAATCATCTCTCATGATCATCAAAATATTCTGTGCATTTATTTATACAAATTTTGAAATTATTCACACGACTGACTCATAATTACGAGTAATATTTGTTTGTTGCCAGTTTACAATTTTAATTCATTCATTTGTTTTTCGATAACGCTATTCTCTTCCGTATCGCTGCTTTCATTTGAGTTGCAAAATTCCGATTCACACGATTCGGTGCCAGCATCATCGGCCTCACCTTCGCCATCTTCCTGATCCTCAGATTCGTCTTCGCTGTTCGATGACGCTATATGTATATCGGTTATTAGTTCTCTAAGGAGTTCGCTTTCCAGATCAGTTAAACCTAAACCTAAATGCTTTTTAAAGATATCCAAAAGAACATTCTTTAAATTGTACGCCAACGTTTGCAGATGCGTTGCCGGGCATACGGTCACGTTTGTTATATAACGAATATAATCGTCTAGATAATAATAGTTAAAGACTGCTCTTTCGCTGCCATTGAATAATTCATGAGTAATTAGCAATTGTTTGACCAACCATTCGGAATGCATTTGCAATGCTTGAATGCAATCTTCAACGCAGTGACGTGAGAATTCATAATTACGATACAATGGATAGATAAGTGATCGTCTATAGAAACTGATTACCACATCACGTAAGCGATAAAATGGTTCAAAATAATAAAGTGTAGGTGTTAAAATACTGCGTGTCCATCCCGATTCACAATTCGCTTCATTGGTAGTGGATCTAGTGCGAAAAAAGTAAATTAAAATAATTCAAGAATTGGAAAAATATTAATGTTTAAATACCTTATATCATAACAAATAGCTAAGAGTATACTGATCAAGCCACAATCTACTTCCACTTGATCAAAATCTTTTGGCATTTTCATCATTTCCGGTTTACAAGTTAGATTATGCAATAAACTTTCTTCATCAGCAGTCAATGTGGTATCTAACGAATGAAACAGAACAAAAGTTATGACTATATTTGCCAGATCAGAAGGCATGTACATAAATTATAAGCGATTTTTTGTTTTGTAAATCATTAACATTTAAAAAGTTCTGATAAATCGTGATCGAGCCTTTGATAATGAAGTTAAGATACAACTCTCGTGTATCTTGACTTGTGATGTACATGGAAAACATATTTATTTGTCGAAGTATGAAAATGTATGGGTGATCTTCTTCTTCTTTTCTGAATTCCCATAACCAAAAAGATATAGTATATTTCTAAGGGAACTGAGTTCGAGAGTCGGCTTGAGAAAAATCTTCTCTATCAACAAATAGCAAAATAAAGACCTAGAAGAGAGGTTTAATAAGGATTCTTGAAATATATTCTTGTCTGCAAGATTTTCGAGAACTTGGAAAAGAAATTATAAATTATAAATAAAACGATATCTCCCCTTTCAATTTTTAAAGATATATCTTTTTTTGTAGAATTGTCACTAAGATCCGATAATAATTCCCTAACACTTGTATTATTTTCCTTTTCGTTCAGTTTTAACTTACCTTTAAAGTTTATATTAAATAATGCAGGATTATCATGTCCATCGGGTACTTGCAGCTCGACAAAATTCAACTTATACTGCTCACGCGAAAAATCGCGCATTTCGTGAATATTGCGATCAATGCTACGTTGTAAAGGCGAGGCTTTCGAGGGCTCCATTATGCGTGATATATTTTTTAAATCACACTAAAAAATAAAAACCGCTTCATTTACTTTCTTTCTTTTTGTACATTAAAATGTAAAAATACAAAACTTAACCTCAAAATTGCGTATTTTGCCATGAAATTTACTAGCGAAACCGTAATCAAATTTTGCTTCCAATTTAACAAAATCTTGATTGTCATCACTTAATTGTATGCGACAAAGGTCAGTAATGCGTTTTAATTTTCCCAAATCTAAAGGTCTCTCAATCGAATTGAAAGATTTCTTATCGTTCGAACGAATTTTTCTATTGTCCCGTCTTTCTTCTTCTTCATTCGCCGGCAAACAGGGTAATTGTAAAAAAAGCACGTGCTCCTTGTTATTATAAAATAGCATTAAATTTTTAATATCCTTCGCATCAAAGCGGCGATACGAGCGAAATCTGCAAAAACATTATGTATAGAAGGGAATTAAACTAAAAGGACGTCGAAATTTTTTTTGAAATACTCACTTGAACAATCTGACATCAATATATATCAGAAAATGATAGTCTCCCAAGAAGACGTCAGAATTTCGAACGTTAACTATTTCTCTTCCCGAACCGACGCAACTACTACTACTACCACCGGGTTCAGCTGAGCCCGTAGCCGGTGATGTTTTTTTTAATGGTACTTGCAAGTCACACAAATTTCCGCTATATTCACAAATTATTTTAAGTATATTAGACATCTCTTTGACAAACACTTATAGACGCGGCAAAGAATTATTTATAATGCAATGAAAAATTTTATTTCTCAAATTATTTCCTCGGTTTTACTTTTATAAAGGATTTCAAAAATATATATATATACGCACGTACATAGGTAATATAAAAAAAGAAATATGCATACATAGGTATATATATATATAGAGATATTTTTCCAAATGACATTAAATCTTAGCATAAAATGTAAATAAAAAACATATGTTCTACGACTATTTTTGAAGTTTTCTAACTGCAAGCTTTATTATTTTTTTTCCTTCCTCTTTTTTAGTTGGAATATGCTTCAGATAATTTACAGACATTAGAGGCTCTATTGTGATATATTGCTCTTAAGGAAAACAAGTTAAAAAATTTATAAAAAATTCAATTTTTTATTTATATAAGTTAACGAAAAGATAATCAAAAATGTTCTTCTTCATTATAAGCTGTACTCAAGGCACTTGCATGAATTATGATCAAAATACAAACCGCAAACAGCGCACTTTCATGAATTATAATCAAAATACAAACCACAAAAGTCTAAATTATCTAATTGTCTTTTTTATAATTATTTCCTTCATTTCTTTTATACAACACGATATTAATAAAAGACATTTTAGCGAAGACAAGTCCATAAATGTGTGAATAGTTAGTACTTTTATTATTTTAGCAAAGACAATTATGTGCGCTCTCCTACGTATGCAACGTAAAAATATGTAATCATATGGTAATAATTGGTTTGCAGGCTATCTTCAATGATATTAGGGAAAAATTAATTAGTTAAGTCTATTTTTCACTTGAAAGAGGCATTTATTATGGAAAATTATATGGGTTTGGCAGCGATCCACCCACCGACCCGTTTTTCCTACTTCTTTAACTTTAGGAATCCGTGTGGCATCTACACTGCACCGATTTGTACAAGTGGTGATCAGGAGGCGCCATGAGTCTGATAAGTACACTGGGTGTGGCAGAATTCCTCATTCGAGCTGCCGCAGTGGGTACAGCAAAAACAATGATAAAATAATTCATTTGTAAAAAAAAAATATTTAAAAAATTATGTATATAGGCACGAATACCGACTTGTTAGCCGCGTTTCTTGCCCGCTGAGCTACTCTTGCGCATATTTTGTTTCAACGCGGCATCAACAACAAGAAGAGAAGCAACAATTCACAAAAACGAAATAAAAATGCGTCTTTTTAAGCACTTTAAAATTTTATTTACTTTCTGTATGTGCTTTTGCAAAAGTCAGAGAGAGCTTTATAACGAACGTATAAAACATCTAAACTATGCCTTATAATTTCATATGAATCTTTAATTGGTAATATTTTATAAACGGTCAACAGTTTATCTTGCGACATTTTACCATAAATAGTGGCATATCTATTAAGTACCATATCCATAGTATCGCCTTCTCCTTTCAACCAATAATCACCAGTTATTCGGCCAGTATGATCGTCCAATGTACATTTAATCTTAGACCAGGTTCTTTCAATTAGCCGTACTATGGCACAAACACAAACCATATCAAAGGTCTTGCCATAAATCTGAAAATTGCCGCTTTCATCAAAATCAAGAAGCTGTTTGATCAGCACAGGTGCAATTAATCCTTCTTCTGGCTTTTTATCGGCTAACCAAGAGCCAACACGAGCGTTTTCAGCTAAAAAAAAAAAAAAAATTGGTAAAATTAATAACATGTTTACAATTATTATCATTCATTAACATTAACTTTTTCGTTGTATTTGTTGTAAAACTTTGTTTCAACTAGACGGCTGCGAACATTCCGCTGAAGAATATTTTAATAAAGACAATTATATTAGAGCCAATTGCAAATGGCCAAAGTGGCCTGGATCATGTGGCAGAACGTAGCTATTAATCAACGAACTGTGTATGACGAAAATATACTGATTCGTCCATCCATTATTGGTGGACTTCCTTATTACATTTTTTCATTTTTATTATTATTAACAAATAATCAATAAACGGAATATGACGCAAGTTTATCACAATCCATTCATTCGTCTTTGTTGGATTTCCTCATTGAACTTTTTCATTCTGAATGCGTATTTGCCTTAGTAATGTATTTCAGAGTGTGTGTATGTCATTTTGTCAAGTTATTTCATTACAATCTAATATCATATTACACATGCTCATCGTTAAATGCATTACTTCCGAAGACGTTGGTATTGTTATTGTACCAGCCTTAAATTCCCCAACGCGTCAAGAATCGATGAAAACGAGAAAAATTGCTATGAAGAAACGTCGAGAAATTGCTGAGGATGTTGGTATATTGGTTGGCCTCTGCAATTTTTTCGGCTGTTTTTTGGCATGAAACCTGTGGCAGTGATGCACTAGCTCACACATCATTGCGGGTAATTTTTTTTAGCCAAAAACCACATCGTAATCATGCCTCGGCCATAGTATTCACCGGGCCCCGTGTAACTTTTTCCTGCTCCCAAGACTGAAAAGACCTATGAAAGGACGGAACTTTGCCACGATTAAGGAGATAAAGGCCGCATCGCGGGAAAAGCTTAAGGCCATACCAAAAAGTGCATATTAGAAGTGCCTCGAGGATTGGAAAAAGCTCTGTCATAAGCTTATCATATCTAAGGAGTGTTACTCTGAAGGGAACAAAATAGTTATTGACGAATAAATAAATATTTTTCGAGACAGATAAGCAATCAACTCTTTTTTCTGAACACACCTCGTATTTGATTTTTTATTTCGTCTGCTGAGTACACTCATAGTAAAGTATTCATGCTATATCATTCGGATTATGATGTCGTTGTTGTTGTTTGAGAGGTAAAGTGCGTAGAATGCGTAAATGGTCAGTGCTTTGTGTCCGCTGTCAATGGGTTATTAGTGTTTGTGAAAATATTTGATTAGTTTTTCGTATTTCCTTTGTTCATTTCCTTTAACCAGCTATCAGTGTATGTGTAAGCATTGATATTTATGGTGTTGTGTTTACCTTTTAATTTCGGGGTTACCGTTACACGAGATCCTCTTTCAATTTGAACTGATGCTGCATTCATACCCATACTTAGGCATTTACGAAAGCGACAATTTGGGCACCAATTACGTCTAAGTTTATCTACCGGACATTGACCTTTCGCTACGGCTACGCATAAATAAATTTTTCTTTTACGTATGCTACGCTTAAAGAAACAAGAGCAACCATCACAACATTGAATACCGTAATGTTTACCGGAACTGTGATCACCACAAACCATGCATTTGCGAGGTGATAATAAATAGAAATCATTCGGTATATGCCGGTTAGCCATAACAATCCCACATTCAACACTGACCAGTAATAGTTGAAAATTATCGACTTTTATACATGCTTCCATCAACTAGTATAAGATAATTTTCTTCTATCCGGCAAATATTTATTTAACACTTAACAAACACTCCAGTTAAAGAGAGAGTGATACTTATATTTTTTCATTCGTCAATCTCGAGACAGGATTGTTTTTTTTTAATGATATGTAAATTTAATCGCATTTTGGATTTTCCTTTTTTTTTTTGATCAATTATATGGGAAAATATATTTACGTATTTGAAAGATGACATGAATTTTAACTGTAATTTTCATACATGGCGTTCGTTTGCCGGCGAATGGGGCAAAGAGAGCCTTAAAAACTTAATCAATTATTATATGAAACTGAGAGATTGAGAGTGTTTTATAACTGAGAAAATCATGTGTCCGTCCATCTTCAATATGAAAATAATAAAAACAGTTAAGCAAATTGTATTCGGTCGTGGTCGAATCTTTTATACCTATCAGCGTTATCTTAAAGAAGGCAAAAGGAGTGGGCGCGGCTGTTTTTTTGCGATTTACAAAATAAGAGTTTTTTTTTTCGCATAGGTGTGTGTTCGTTGTAGGCGTGTCCTTGTAAAAGTTTCCAATTCTTTTGGAAATTTGTAGGCGATATGTTCATTTTCTCCTTAACAGGAGAATGTTAACCGCACAGTTTACTACACAGTTGCGCAGGACAGAGTTACAGACGAACATGCTTAGTTGCATTTCAAATTGAAAACTGGCCAAAAATTCATGTACTTTATAGAGTTTAATTTGCTTTTGTGCTTTATAAATTTATTGAAAAAAATATTAAATTTTGATACCCTATACCTTGATACCCAATTTTTGAAAAAGAGACGTGCTCTCATTTTACATGGTACTGTGGTCGTGTCCTTCGAACGATTTGGCCTCACCAAACTGCGGGCAAGGACTTCCATTCTTAATTTTTACTACCAAGAGAATGTTTACCAGAAACATTACACAGATGCATAGACGGACAGATGGACAAGCTTAAATCGATCAAGAATATACATACATTGCGGGGTCTCTGATGCTTCCTCGTAGGCGTTGCAAACGTTTTGATAAAGAGAATACATCACTCATCTTTCGTCATAGCTGGTCTTCTAAATGGAGAATAGTTTAAAGCAATCATTCAATTGAACAGAAAATTACGTGGAAAGATTACTCGAACGTCTCAAAAGTGAAAAGTTAGATGGGTAGATGTAGGAAGACCAAAACGATATGATAATGTCTTATAAATAATAATTTTAGCCAAAGATTACTCGATAAAGTCACTAAGAAATAAAAAAATTCATCGAACCATCTTTGAAATGAAAAGCTGACCGCGTAATGATCACCAAGAAGTATGTTAGGCGGTTTTAGGGCTAAATGCGAAATGTTTAGTTGATTGTTAAGACATCTTATATGTTAACATGTGAGAGGTCAAAAATTTTAGATCTAGAAATCTGCAGAATGTATGGTTTGGAATCCTATGGGGCCTTGGGGTCTAGGAATATATATTTCCTTAGACCATTGTAGAATGTATGATTCGAACTGCTATGGGGCCTTGAGGGAAGCTTCTGCAGAGATTGCTTCGCCCCTTTTATAGCTAATGCAGGCAAAAAGCAAAATCACTATTGATTTGTTTTTTAAAAAAAGCAAAGGTAAACTGGCAGCCGTGCTTGTGATCTGAAATCCGCTAATAAACCACCAGGCAAGGCTAGCAATACGAAATATTCTTAAGATACAAAAAAAAAAAAGAAGCATTCATCTACGTTTCAAAACTTTCCGCAGAAGTCGTTTGCCCTTTTTATACTCTACATTATTTGCGGGGCAATACTGTGCGGATGTATACTACACTTGACGTGGATTTGAGATAGATCCACTTTTTATTATTTATATGTCATAGAAAGTGATTCGGAATCGATTTAAACATATCTGTTTGTCTATATGTCTTTTATTCTTTTGTGAATTTTTTGCAATAATTCGGTAAAAGTTGGTAGAGCGAAATGTCTTGATCCAAGGACGCATCAATTTGAAACTCATTCAGATCGAGCTACTTTTTCGTTCACTTTCCATATGAATTGTTATTTAGAAAAATGTAATAACTGTGCTAAGCGAAGTGTGTTGTAGGGTAAGTGTAGGACAGTGTAAGCCATTGCCCATTTATACTCATTTTAGTTGTAAATATTTTTAATTATTTTTAACTTTTCATATATATATATTTATTTATATTATAATTTCGCTTAAACTAATTCAACTTACTACGTACATACACATATAATTAACATACATATAATAATATCAATATAATTAATCTCACAAGTAATGCTACACACTACTATTGTAATAAAATTTATTAAAAATTCAAAAATCTTAACACAAAAGGACATTCTTGTCATAATATAAGGAAATTTTTTAAGAGTACTCTAAAGCTTATACACTTATGTAAGAATTGTTTAAAAAGGAAAAAAAAAAATTTTTTATATATATATATATATATATATATATATACAGAATAGAATTGTAATAAAAACTCGTTCAGTATTAAACTGAAACGCATAACATTGACGTGTTATAGTGCTTTTAATGCTTTTATATACACATTACTTTTTATTATTATTATTATTACTATTATTAAATTTAAAATATTTAATTTAATTTAATTTAATTTTTGATTTACATTTTAATATCTTATTTAAGAAGGAAGGAACTTTTTAATTGAAAAATTTATTTTTATAAATTTTTTTTTATTTTCATAGAATTTTTTCACTTTTTCTTGTTCTTTTTATTTTCTTTTTAATGAATTCTTTTTTTGAAAGGAGAATGCGTTATGCGGTCGACGATGAATTTTACAAGTCAACTTAAAGCTTTGCTTTAGAGAGAAATTTATATGAAATCAGCAAAAACAAAAAAAAAGAAAGAATAGTTTTACTTATAGGTAAATGGTGAAGAGAAAATCACTCTTGAAGCGAGCGGTATTCAATTTGCTTTCAATTTGCAGAAAATGCATAGACTAAAAGTGATTTATTCCGGAAGCATTATGTAATTCGGAAAGAAATGTCGTTTTTTTTTTTTGGCCAAAACAAAATCCGATTTCTTTATAGTTACACTCTACAACTCTCTTATTAAGTTAGTGTGAACGTATGTAACACGCAAGAAGGAATGAAGATAGATCCACCTTTTAGTATACCAATCGATTCAGAATCATAATCTGAATTGATCTATGCCTATGTCGGTCCGTCTGTCCATGCATGTTTGTGTTCAAGCTACAAGTCACAATTTTTGAAATATTTTGATAAAATTCGATACAGTGATGTGTTTTGACTAAAGGACAAATGGAATTGATAATCGTTCGAATCGTTCCCCGTATAAGGCGCTCTTCTGAATAGTCGTTATATCCAAAAAAAATTGAAATTTTCAAAATTTCTTGCCAAGTGAGTAAGCAGTAGTGTTTCGGCATTTTAAACTGGTATGAAAACTTTGGACCGGCTGGAGTAATTTTCGGAACCTCTCTCATATAAGCGTTCCTTTTGAAGCATGCTTCTGCGCGTTGTACAAAGGTTTGGAAAAAAAATGATATTATTATGCACTATAAAAATGAGTAGATGTGGGCGATTTTTTTTTTTTTTTTGCAGAGGTACTGCAGTATCGCCTATAGAATATGCGTCCAAATTTGTTTTAGATTTACTTGCTGTTCATGGGCAGTGCGCGAAAACCCTGTTTTTTTTAATACTTTTGAAAAACTGACTTGTTCTCACTTTACGTAGTGCCGTACAATACATGCCGTTTCAGTACAAACGTGCGAGCAAGAATTGTCACCGTTTGTGTCAAATTTAAAGTCGATCAGGAAAATGTTTACAATAGACGTTATAGAGGGACAGACTTAAATCGATTTACAATTTGGTGTGAACTAAAAATATATAAGCACTGTGGGGTCTCTGAATTTTCCTTTTAGTCGTTGCAAACGTTTTGACAAAGTGAATATACCTCTCATCCTTCGGGTAGGTCGAAAACAATGGAAAAACTTTCTTCAGATTTTACATAAATTCTCTAATCGAAAAACAATTCCTGCTATTAGAAATTACGAATAATTTCCAATAATTTCCTCTTATCGCTACTCAGAGATATAGAAATCGTTGAAATCTTATCGCTTATTAATGTGAAGAATTTTTTTTTTATTTTAATTTTTTGTTTATGCCTCCTGCGCAGCACTTGAAAGTAGTTTTTCATTTATTCTAATAAGCACACATTCACAACGAATTGCCTTTCGAGAGCGTTACGTAATTTAGTTAATTAATGAGTGCATTCAAAAGGTAAAGCTAATGCGTTCATTTTAATTCGCATTCAGCCATATAAGCCAGAGTAACTCAATTTACGGATTGTAGGAGAAAATTAACAGGCAACTAATGGACAAAATGTTGTGTTAATTGCCTTTATCTAAAAAGTATTTGTAGCAAGTTTTTGCGGCTTATGTTTTGCTCATGTTCGCTAAAAACTCAACATTTTTTTTTCATAGGCGGATTTACGCGATAACTTTAAACAAAAGTGAACTGTTGTAAGGCTTGGACTATCTATAACTTGGCGACATGTATTCTGAAGGATAGCTTAGGGGTGCACTGGAAGAAGTTGCTGCGAGCACCTCTTTTCTGATGGACTATTGCTAAAGAGGAAATACAAACCAGCTATTGTCATACTGCATCTGGTTACGTAAAGTACGTTGATATAGTAATCGTCGAGAGTATGGTTGCCGTTCGCCATGTCATATGTAGCACCCGACGCTAATATATCTTGAAGAAGGTTAGTCTGGTGTTGCCTAGCCGGGATTGTATGGTTGATCCGAAGGCAAGAGTGACGCGTTCTCGTGTAAAGTAAGACTAAAGACTTTATAGTCTAAATTTAAGCTCCACGGGGGTCAGCAACCCACTCGCAAAGTTACGAGTATTTGCGGATAGAGGTGAGAGCTCTGCTATATTGCAGATTAGTGCTTGCCGAGATCCTTCGGGCAAAGCTTGTATGCTTACAAACCTCGGTGGAAGCTAGTTTGTCCAACCTCCAGTTACGGACTCTCGGGGGTATCGTGGCGGTTGTGGTTTCTATCATTCCTATGGCGAATAATTAGGCCTCAACACTCCGCGGAATGGTTTTATTGGGCCATACACAATAAACATGTCTGGTTTCTCCAGTGTAGTTTAGATCTCTAGCTTATAGGGATTGTCTAACTCTCTGGAGACCGACGGTCACTCAAAATTAACACGTGTGTTATCGGGTACCGTGGGCTTAAACCTTCAAGGTGGTGTGCCCACGTTAAGCTCTCAGAGACATCTGTCATAAAGCGATTATTAAGAATAACACTATGTCTTCAGATATCAGAACCTAAGACTTTTTTACTTCGGATTTTACTTAAGAAAGAACGAAACCCTCCTACGCGGTGAGCGTAATGGACGTGAATATTGCAACATCGTCTTTGTAACAAAATTTTTGGTAACAACTATCTACCGCATAACGCTTCTTCTTCTTCTTCTGCTTTTTTTTTTTTTTTTTTTTGTAATCGTTAGTTAATCCTATAATAAGTTTTTGTTTATACATGTGTGAAAAAAATGTGATGTTTGCTATGCTACTTATTACACTTGTACACCTATGCTTTAATGAAAACCATTTAATATCCGTTTTTTTTCCCCTTACGCTACATTAACGAATAATTATCTTCTTCGTTTACTTTACATGTTAAACCTACGCAAATATGTTGATAACAGTGCGAGACGCGACAGAGAGGCAGGCATCCCTGTAATCGCCTTAAAATGAAAATAACAATTTTATGATTTATGGGCACGAGGAGGGAGGCTTGTAAATATTTTTAAACACTTAACCATTACAACAAAAACAAAAAATTGTACCTTCATATCAGTTTTCTATATAAGGCATTCACTTTATTTTTTTGCTTCATTTTCCTATTTTTCTCTTTCCAGCTATTATCTCTCAATAAATCCTCTTATCCTTAAGGTTAACTTAACTATTCATCTGTCTAAGGATTAAACACTTCAACGCTCCCTTTTTGCAATAGAAAAATAAGAAGAGAAAATGTAAAAAAGTTATGTCCGGCTGTAGACGAGTCTTCTGTACTCAACACTTTCAAGTGAGAAAACAAACTCGTATAAAATGAAATTTCAATACTAAATGGTATTGGGGAAAGGTGTATTATAGGTAGGTACGTCGTAGCTTCATTTATAGAATATAAAGAATTTTATTGCTGCAGTTTATGAGTCATAAGCAAGCGTCCGTTTTTACACCCTACACCATCTGCGATACACGGGCGTATTCAGTTTGCGCGGGACGTGTGCAGCCACCGGAAGGACATGAGATAGAATCATCTTTTACTAGAAATTTGTCTGCCCGTCCATTCGTCTTGTTGCAGGTAGCATTTTCCAGATATTTTGATGAAATTTGGTACACTTTTTTGGTGTGTCCGCCCGTCCGTCCGTCCTTTTTGGTTTCTTGTGACCTATAGATTGCAATCTTTGAGATATTTTAACGAAATTTGACATATTTTAGCCCAAAAGACGGAACGTTTTTGAAAAATGGTTAGGATAGGGCCACTTTTCGCCAATTTCCCATCTAACGCCTTATGTTGAAAAGTCGATATATGAATAGTTGTAACGGGACCATAGACACACGGTCAAATAGACAGTCATACGAACATTCTTAAACCAATACCGATCAAGAAGAAGAACAATTTAATACCGATCAAGGTTATATCTACTTTGTAGATTCATTGAAGTGTACTTTTAGATATTGCAAATCTTGTAACAAAATGACTACTTCTTCATACTTCGGTGGTGGGCATAAAAATAGGGGGTAATATTAATAATATATTTGTGGCTTGAACGTAATGGATACTACTAATTAAGTTATCTTAGATATATTTAAAGAGTTTACTACCTTGTTAATGTAAAAATAAAGAGTTTCACTAGCCTGCTAAGAACAAGATCGTTACGCTGAATCTTAACAACTTTACCTGCGGTATCGCAACGTAGAAAGTTCAATTAATCTTATAGCATATCTCTTTAAAACAACCTTCGGATAGGTTAAAATCGATTGCGTCTCTTTTCTACCTACTTAAAAGTGCCTCGACATTAAGACTTATCTCGGATTTCTTAGCTGTTAAGGGATCATCGGCCGGCGTACTTTGGGTGGAAGTGACTGATGCACTTGTAGTGGCGGTTGAAGCATCTGTAGTCGGGCTCTCCATCACGCCAGTTATATAACTGATGCCATTTAGAGAGCGGGATGGAGCCGGTGAAGTAGGAGCCGAAAATAAAGTCGACGTTTTAGTTATTTGCTTGCCTTGAGTTTGTAGCTGTGGTGGTGATATACTGCCAGTGTATTGTATAGGCTTATGAAGTGGTGGAATTGATGTTTCTATCGTCGAAGGTGGACTCTTATTCATATTGCTATCCAAACTGCTGTGCTGTTGCGAGGAGGCTGGTGATAAAGGAATTTCTTCGATTTTTTCTAAATCCTGAGCTATGGATGATGAATTCTGTTTATGTATTCTCGCCAAGCTGACCTTAGGACTGCGCGAATTTTCTTGCAGTATAGGAATATCAAGAAGAGATGACTTAGTTGATAGGGAGAGTGTATAAGAGGTTTGCAGGGACGCTTGATGTGGATGTTGATGTTGCAACTGGTATTCGCCTTTATTATGTGTGTCGTCACGATCCAAACTGAATTGACGTCTAAGTAAACGTGAGGATCCCGGTTTCTCGAAGCGTGGACCAGCACTGTGCAAATTAATTACATTGGCTAAAACGGTGGTGGTATTGCCGCCTGATCCGCTGCCACTACTAGTGCTGTATATATATTTTCCGTCGTAAAATTGTGAAAGGTTACTTTCACTGGGACTTAAGCATTTGTAGTGATTGTAGGGTGAGCTGAGGTCGAGCATTTCTTCAATTTTTTTGTATAAACGGGAAGAAGAACCACCAGCAGAATTAGGCAGTCTATTAAAACTAACAGTAGAGCAAAGAAGATGTTCAGGTACATTAGCAGTTGAAGTTGCATCCGAAATTTTCCTAGATTGAGGACTACTACTAGGCGTCTTACTTGGAAACTCTGGACACAAATTCATATTCGGGCTTATCGTAGTTGTTGAATTAGAATCCAAGGAATACGAGTTTTGCAAATGGTTTGAACTTACTTCCGCATTAGCGGGCGGAGTAATTTCCACTTTTACCTCAACAGCTTCACCGGCTAAGGAAGATGATTGACTGGACGAAGGATTTGTACTATTACGCGACTTATTAGCAAGAGCTTTAAGAGTTATCGAATTACGTATTAAGGATTCGTCTAATCTAAAATGTACGCTAAGGGTAGTTAGGAAATTCAATGAATCTTTGCAAATGAAAAACCTACCCATGAGATTCTCTATCCCAGAAGAGATCAGGTTTCGATATTTAAAGAAATTTAATTTTCTATATGCTTGTTATAAGGATTTAAAATTACATACTTACCCAATCGGTGGGGGATTAGGCAAAGGTTTATCGAAACCCTTCTTACCCAGCAACCAAAATGTGTTCATCATACCTTTGCCTTTGATATCAATAAGACCCCTTGGCTCAATCATGTATCCGCCCCGGGTCTCTAAACGATCTCTTGTCTCTTGGGACATATGTATACGCCAAGAGGAACCTAAAACAACGCAAGTAAATATTGGAATGAGTCGAAATCTGGAAAGGAAATTATTTGCCTGTAGATTCCATCCGAGAAGCGGTGTTGACAGTGTCGCCGAAAAGACAATAACGTGGCATAGTAAGACCCACCACGCCCGCACAACAAGGGCCTGTGTGCAGACCAATTCGCAATTGGAGCGGTACTCCAGGCAAATGTTTTACATTAAAACGGCCGCTTTGATGCAAAAGATCCAAAGCCATGGTTGCTATTTGTTCCGCATGATCGGGTATGCGAACCGGTAAACCACTCACCACCATATAAGCGTCACCTATAGTTTCAACCTATACAACGAGAAAGATAAAATATTTACCTGCAAAAACATTTCCGATTTATACCTTATAGACGTTGTAGGCATTAATGGTGGCATCGAAAATCGTGTAGAGATCATTGAGTAGATCAACAACCTGTACGGGGGTGCAATGAGCGGCTATTGTTGTAAAACCAACAATATCGCTAAAATAAATGGTAACATCGGAAAATTCTTCCGGTTCCACAGCTAAACCCATTTTTAATTTTTCAGCCACAGAACTATGAAAGAGAACTCGAAGGGCTTCAAAAAATTCGTTAAAAAGTTCTTAGAAGAACTAACCTGGGCAACATACGATTTAGCAGTTGTTCAGTCTTTTTTCTTTCCATATCTAATTGTTCGGTACGTTCACGTATCAGTTCCTCCAGATTATTGGAATATTTTTCCAACATTTGAAACATCGTATCGACAAAATTCACTTTACGACCATGGTTTAGCAATTTGAAGCGTTCATAAACTCTTTAATATACCGCAAGCATGTTCATCAACGTCCACATCATTATCATCGTCATCGTCATCGTCATCACCAAGGACGTGGAGATTGAAATTCCATATACACACACACACACACACAGACACACACCCGCAGACATATGTTTAGATGCATGCACAGAACATTTCATTTGTAATAAGCGTTTTCAATGTTTATTATGAAAAAAATGATTTAAAAGCAGAAAGGATGAGAGAGAGAGAGAGAGAGAGAGAGAGAGAGATAGAGAGAGTGAAAAGTTGAAATAAAGTTTTTTCTCTAGTAATAATGTGCTAATAAATTTTAAAATAATTCTAAAAAACTAATTTCCGTCTAAAACGAAATTCACTTTACTTACGAGTTGAAATCTGGCCTCATCTCTGGCTGCTCGGCCCAGCACTGACGCATTATGTTAATCGCTTCGGGCGGTGCGGCACCCTTTGACACTGATGGCCGTATCAATGGTGGTGGTTTTTTTATTTTAGCTATTATCTCATCGGCCGACAATGATAGCATACAATACGGTTCACCTCTGACCACCACTTCCTGCATAATTATGCCAAATGAATACACATCACCCGCTGGGGTACCCATTAACGTTCTAGCATGATGAGTAAGATAATAGGAGTAATGATGATGATGATGATGGTGTTGTTGATGTTGTTGTTGTTGCTGTTGTTGATGTGTATGCGAGGGCGTTGGTTGTGGTTTCATGGCACGCAACAGCTCAGGTGCTGTCCACAATAATTCTTTTGCTGTACGTTGAGGTGATTGTATACCTTGTGCCTCATAGAAAAGCGGCAAACCGTAATCGGTTATTTTGAGCACCCAACGTGCATCGACCACGCAATTACGTGAAGTCAATGTACCGTGAATACGCAGAGGCGAACTATGCAAATATCGCATACCACGCACTAAATCTGTCAGTAAACTTAAACGAAACGACCAATCCAATTTGATTTCGTCCATAATCAGAACATCTTGCAATGAACCGCGCGAACAAAAATCGAAAACCATGGCAGTACGATTGGGATCGGCAAGCCAACCTATAAAATTTTTAATTTACGAGAAATTTACTTTAAACGCGAGTGCATCACCAATCGTTTTACCTATTAAAGGATTAATGTTCTCATGTCGTAAACCATGAGCCATTACCAAAAGATCCATGGCTTTGGCTTTGAGTTCCGTTGAACCATTCATTTGTATTTCCTTCAATTGCACTAAATCGCCATTGTATCGAGCTCTCATATCCAGTAAAGCCGGATTATGTCGGGCAAGATGATTGGCACCGGTGTTTGACGATTTCCCATTTGTTGTTGCATTATTAACACCAGCCGAACTGGCTGCATTAGTGGATGCGCCGGGTATTATGAAACCCAAATTTTTCAACGATCCAATTGAACCTTTCAACAAATCTGGCTTATCAACTTCGGGACCACCGAATTCTTGTAATTGCTGCAACCAACAACGCAGCATGGCTTCGATTCCGTCATCCACCTGAGTGAAAGAGAACTTTTAAAAGACACTCACAATCGCCCAAAATCATTTAACTTACTCTACGTGAATCGACGGGAAAGACAAAATCATTGGCCGATAAGACAATCTTGTTGGGTCCCTTGGATAAACGTTTTTTTAGCAAATAGTTTCTGAAAAAAGAGCAAGGACAACGTGTGGTAAGCTTTAAAGTAATTCTTCTTATTCTTGAAGAAGTCAGTTAAACACTTCTTTTCGGTTTCTTCGTCTGTTCTTTATTTAATAGTTATAAACATTTATAGGTAGGAAAATAAACCAATTTTTGGTAATCTATTAGTTAATAGCCCTCAGATGTGAGGTGAGCTATCGCTTAGCTAAATAGTTTGGAATCGCGACTATCAAGTCAGCATGACCGGCTTTACGTCTCATTGATAGAGCGTACTTTAATTGCGATTGGTTTGCGAGCCTAGCTACAATGAGTCTTCGATCGGAAATGGTATAATACTTATTGATAATCTAGAAACAGGCCTTTCAGGCAAAGGCTAGTCTCTATTTCTTTCTTCTCTCCGCTTCTTTTTGATCATGATTATATTTTATTTATCACCCGCGTAATATGTACATATACATGGGACGTCGTCTAAACATATATTGCTATTACATATATATATATTTATATTTCTATGGGCTAATATGCCTTAAACTTAAATAAATGTCTGAAAGAGATGAAGTTACGGATAAAAATGGGCAATAGGCATCGCAATAAGCGCCCTGTGTAAGTCCAAGAAGTTTTTCTTTATTCCTTACACTACATGTGCTATAAGGATACATTAAGTTTGTACTGATGTATACAACATCCAAAATGACCTGAGATAGCTAAAAGTTTTATTATCTGTCTGCCTCTATGTTAGTCTTGCGTTCTTGTGGAATAAAAGATGGAACTTGTCATCGATTCAGAACCATTATCTAAGCCTGTCCGCCTGCTTGTCTGTTCGCCTTCTGTCCTTATGGAGCGGTAGACGAAACTTATCATCGTTTGCGATGCCCAAGCATGATTGTTATTGTTCGAGTCAGATCACTTTTTTGACGAATACTCAAATCAAGCCTTATTTTGAAAGGTTGTTATACGAATAGCAATATTAAGCAAAGTGTTGATGGTGAAGCGATGGTTAATTGTACCCCGCGACCCTCTATAGTATTTTCAGTTGTTTTAGATTTTTCGAATTTTTGGAATGCGCGTACAAGTGCTTTATTTCGGATAGAAAATTTGAACATAACATCTTGATGGAATTTTTGTACATAGTTTGAAATGAAAGGCAACAAGCAAGAGAAGTTCGTTTCAGTTCGTTCAGGTGTACAAAACACGACAGGAATGTAGCCCACTAGAGATGTAAATAAATCTTCATTTTGCACTCACTTCACTTTGTACGTAAATTACTTTAAACAACACACGAGCGTTCTTGCTTACCATCATTTCAATGATTCAACCAATTCAAGTCGCACCTAGCTTCACCTCCTCCTGCTTTAGTTTTATTAATAATAATAATTTTCAGTGTCTGTGACAAGTTGCGCTAAGCGTAAACTTTACGCTTCTTTTCACCTGCTTGATTTTGAAGCTACACCCAATTATACACAAAAGGTATCTATCTACTCACGGTCTAGATGACTATGTGTGCATATTGCATTCAATTCCGAAGGAAAATTCACAAACAGAAGTGCATTTTATTTACTACAATCCCGCACTAAAATACAGTAAATATTGATGTATTTTTTTTTTTTTTTTAAATCTTTCTGTCTTTCGCAAAAAGAGACACCGCATGCACTAAAGTTGTTCTTACGTTCCGAGTGCTTAACGCTTTACAAAAGCTAGCTGTTGCCGGTTAGAAAAAGTCACAATTCCTCTTCACATGTCACATAGTATCTCTCGGTTGGTCCGTCGGTTTGTCTGTCTTTGTTGTTGTAGATGTGTAACGGGCTTTGCATAGTTTTCCATTAAACCAAGCAATCATGTTAATGATGTGGTTGATAAAGACAAAAATGATGTTCATGCCCTACGCATACAAATGCTTCCCTTTTGTTTGTATGTACAATAATGTAGATATGTAAGTATATATTTGTCAAAATGAAAAATATTTACATATGCACGCAATTGTGTGTGCACGAGCGGTTGGTATATTTGGTTTTCTAGTTTGTGGTTTTCTCTGCGCGCAGTCAATGTGTGATAAATTACGAATGCTTCTCATTCTTTGTCTATGCGAGCGGTTGTGCATGTATATGTCGTATTTATTATGCGCTCATTATTGCGGTTACATTAAATTTATAGAAATAATTATTATATATATTAAGTTAAATTATTTTATATATTAAGGATCGAGAGACGAGTAAAAAATCAATTTCTGATTTCCAAAAGCACGTCTCGTAAGTCGTCCAATGCCCTTAGAGCCTTAAACAGTATACAACAACAGTAACAACTCTTCACGGTTTTTAAAGGAATAAGTGTCGCGGACCAAGTCCCAAATCAACATGAAATCCCATATAAACAATATAAAAATATCAAACTGACAATTGAACCGATGTGCACACCAGTCGACCAACTTATATGAATTATACGTAAACGAAGTCATGGTCAAGGTCAATATCTTTATTTTTTAAAGTGGTTGCTCGGAAATTATAGGCGCACTGGCCACGTTAGCTCCTTAGGCTAAAGTGTCTTCAGCTTCGACTTGGTTTGCTAACTCATCATCAGTTAACAAATCCTGTTACTCCCGTGAGACCTCTTCTAGGTAGTTTCGAATCTAATGCCTGCAATTTTGAAAATCTCAAGATAAAGCGTTTGCATGGACATTTGTATGGGCTTGATTTAACTTCATGCTCAGTAAAAGAGTCTTCGATGTTTAATTATATGTTGTTGGATATATTTTAGGTTAGATTACAAAGACAGCACCCTTTACAATTCTCTCTCAAACGCCGATACGGTGGCTTGGAAAATAATTTTTATGTTCTCTACAGGGAAATCACGTCATGATATTGTATTTGCTCATATATTATTAAGGAAAGCTTCGTCTCCGAGACTGTCCCTTGTCTCAATCAAGGTCAATAGCAAAGCAGCTTTGTGATTAATTTCGATTCATCCAAGTTTTAGTTTGATCGATTATTCTAGACAGTTTATTGTGAGCAACTTCGTTCTTGGATCTCTTGAACGAAAGAATAATGCCCCATGATAATTGGTTGCAACTGAAGCCTTATCATCAAAATTTTTCATATCGAAAGTTTTTTATAAGTTAATATTATAACTGGACCGATGTCGTCATTACCACAAAAGGCCACTATAATTCTTTAATTAAGCACTTAATCTTCACAAGGACCGTTAACAGTATACAAGAACCTGGCACGACATTCGTAGGAGAGAGAAGGGCACCTTTTCCGTATTTGCTGCGATTTACAAATTACGTTTGCATACGTGGGCCTTGTGAAGTTTTCTCTTAAGGGGAAATGGCGGTTACCTTCTATCACTAGATATCTGCAGTTATCAGTGATATCTCAGATCTACGGGTATGAAATGATAATATGGATAACATCACGTGAAAAAAACATAGATGTCCGAAGTTATGTTTTTTTTTTTTTTACAACTAAGAAATCTGTAAAGAATTATCAGACGTACTTTCAACACATGTCCCAATGCAAAAATATTTCTCGAACGACTAAAAACATGTAGTTTTCATGTTTCTGTAACTAGCAATAAAATGCCAGTCGCTAAAATTCAGAGGTCGACACAGACGGACCACCCACAAGTGCTGCGAGAGTGAATCGCTATGGTAAGAAGAGTATACTCTGTACTTGGTGTTACCAGAAGGATGTGATCTCTTATTAGTTCTTCAAGTCTTACGAAACGGTTGATACCGTAGAATGAGTTCGCGCCACACGTTGAAAGCGTTTAATTGGGTATAACTAGGCCTGGCGGCTTTCTCACCAGAGCTGAACCGTTTCGATTACGATCTGCTTGCATCGACGGGTCATGCACTTGTTGAGTAGAATTTTAGTCTGTGCGAAGGTGGGGAAAAACACGTCCGATGAATTGTTCAAAGCAAAAGAGGAAGGTTTTCACTGCCATGGGACCCGTAAATTGCCGCAAAGATAGAGTACATGTACAAGTAGCGATCGGGTATGCTTTGAGTAAACGGCTTTTTATCATTCTTCTAAAGTTGATAAAGTTTCCTTGAAAAAAAGTTGTGATTTCATGCTTGCAGACCTGGTATTTGATCCTAATGCGACTGCCGCATGGGGAGGTGATACGTATGGATTGCACGAACGCGCTGCCTTCTTCGCAGGGGAAAAGTGGTATCTCTCACTAAAACTACGAATTTCAAGATTACAGCGGAGTCGTATATGTCTAAGCCTTGGATGGTGATATGCATGCAGCTTGCACTTAAGAGAAGAGGGCGCTTACTCGAGACAACTTACACACTCTACAACAATGGAAAAGCCAATAAGGCCAATGGAGGATATACACGCATATATGTACATATGTATTCGGGAATCTCGACTTGAGTGCCTATGCGATTGCCAATAGTACTATATCTCTATATATATTGTATCAGCTGTACTTTTGCTTCATTATTGAAGCATGATCGAGAGATTAACATGAACGTAGTAATATTTTGGCCAAATGCATTGTACTGAGATTAAGGTAAACTTAACTTTACTTTGTTTTTCTGATCTTTTTATCTTTCTATCGTTTTTTTGTACCATTAGTTAAAATTGTAATTTTCCTGATGTTTTATTATAATTAAAAGTTGTATTTATTCGTTTTTACTCCAATTGCATATGCAAGTAAAAATACATTTGTTCATGCTTTCACATATGCAACGTTTTCTCTGTTAAGCTTTGCACACATAACAAAACTTTTTTTTATTATTTATTTATTTAATTTTTTTTTTTTCGTTTCTCCTATATTTGGTATATCATTTTTAAGACTCATTAAACCTGAAGCTTATTTAAGTTAATTACTTCTTCAAAAAACAAAAAAAAAAAAAAAAGTGAAAAGAAGCACTTGGTTATTATATGAAAACATAGGTAAATGCAAGAGTAGGGAAGCATGTGTAAAGAAATGAGAAACAGGAGGAAATATTTATTATTAAATATAGTTTCGCAATACGGAAAGGGGAATGAGTATAGAAGCTTCGTTTAAATTGAATTATGTTAAACTTAAGAAGAGTTTAATGTATTTTGAAACTTTTTAATGACAAATTTTAAATCTTAAGTAAATTCCATAATAAAAATTCAAGATATTTTGCATTTACTTAAGATAGAAGGTAGGAAAACTTGAGCATACAATAATACAATAATAAGGGGAAGAATTGAGTTATTGGATAACAGGAACTTTTTGTCGCCATATTTGATAAGTCTCAAGATCCGGCAAATTCTCGGAGAGGAAGTTCATGCGGAGAGAAAATATGAAAAGAAGACAATTCTCCATATATGGATTGATCGGGTAAGAACTAAATTTAAACCTCATACCGTCCATTTTTCTCCACAGATTCCCGTCAACTGACCCGTCCCAAACACTGACATTTGTCTTCAGTGTAGTTTTCCAAATAAACGCGAGAAAATACGCAATTGCAGAGCGTATAAAAACTGTTTGAATTTGTTACAAATATAATGAAGATGTTCGGGCTACGTTTCATGTTTGATTAAAAGGTTTCGTAAATAAGGGAAATTGATGCTTTGGGGTGTAAAGGAAAGAAACCACTTACTGCCTCCAAATAGAAGTTTACGTGCAGAAAAAACTTAGGGTCGGTCTGTAGACTGAAAATGTCACGTTTGAGCATGAAAATGACATTGCAGTTACCCTCAACAGCGAACGATATACAAACATAATTATTGATCTTTTATGGTACAAATTTTCGCCTTGGATGACTTGTGGTTTCAACTTGCCCTCAATTAAGTGGGGAGAAATTCAACGAGCGAGTGAACTCTATAAATGTCTACATGCTATGTAAAATCATTGGTTTAATCTAATAAATCATCGACTATCAATGACCTTGGTATCCAAGATCATTTGCGTTGTTGATGTATTAATCCAGATTTACGTGGAAGAGCGGTTAGAAATTAGCGCTTCCGACTAAAATTTCTACAAAAATTTCGAGGCAGTCATTTACATCATTTGTGGCAAGCATGTATATAAAGTTTGTGCTGATATACGTAATACCCTGAAGGTGTTTGCAACAGATTCATACTTTTTTGAAATTTGGTCTGTCTGTCTATCCGTCTTGTTTTCCTATGTTCGACGTACAGATCGAATTTTTAAGATATTTGGATGAAATTTGATACACCGACATGTTTTGGTCCAAGGGCGAACGGTACTGAAAATTGTTTGAAAATCGGATCTCTCTCTACCAGTTGACCTTATTTTGAAAAGTCTTTATATGAATTACTGCATAACGCTGTAGGATATTTTATGGTTGGACGAAGACCCTTTTTGTCTTCTTACTTGCTTTCACTTAAAAATGGCGTAACGTAGTATCTAAAATAAGAAAAAGTCATGGAGTTATATTTTTCTTGCGGCCCACAGATATATTAAGCTAGTGGAGATGTAGGCAATGCCTAAAAGGAACTGAGATAGATCGACCTTCTTTTAAACCGATCTATTCAAAGTCACTTTCTGAATCGTTCTAAGCTTGTCTGTCCGTGTGCCCATCTGTCCCCTTTAATTTTTTGTGTTCAATTTACACGCCGCAATTTTCGAGTTATTTCGATGAAATTTGGTCTACCGATGTGTTTCGTCCCAAAGATGAACACTATTGAAAATGGTTCGGATCGGATCACCTTTTCGACTACTTCCAATAACGTCCCTCCGTCTTGTTTTCTTGTGGTCGGCATACAGCCCACGCAGTTCTCTGGTTTTAACCCTGGAATAATTGCTATTGAAGATAGTTCAGTTCGTAGCACTTTCACGAATACTTCCTATACAACACCTTATTTTAAAAAGTCTTTATATGAATGACTGTATTAAGCAAAGTGTAGGTAGTGTAGTGTAGGTATTTAAAAGTAGGCGTGTCTCATTACAGTAGTTACCTATATATATTATTTATATAATGTTAAGCTTTGTAGGTTTTTTATTGATTAACAGTTTTTTTCGTTTTTTAAGTGCCTATCCTTTAGTCGTCACCTGGTACGTTTTTTTAGTTCCACTTTTCACTTACTTCTTGCGTCAATTGTTTTTATTTCGAATTACGGGTGCATACCTTTTATTTGATCACCCTGTAGAAAGCAATTTACGTAAGGCCGTCGAAAGATTATTTCCGTTTAGTGACCTTGGAAATTTTCGTATGTCTTTAATTAAAATTTTACCCTATTAGCGAACTCAAACAAAAATTCTCATATGGTTTCACGTCAATCACGCGTCTCTAATATTTATTACTTACTGTATTGAATTTTGATTTCGTTTTAAATTCGCCCCGTAATGTGTCGATTAAGGATTTTATTTACTTTAAGCAAATTATATTTCTTATTTGATTATTTCTTATCGCACTTACTTACTTACCTTAAGGCTATACCCGCCGCCACACTGGCCACCACAACAAACAATAGAAAACCGACACAAACGGCGATAACAATCCAACATATGGTATTGCAATGCCACAATTGAACATTGGTAACCAGCAGCCAATCATCAAAGCCGGGTTGTATTGAATGAGTTATATAGGTTTTTAAATTGATTTCATGTAGCTCAAGTATCAATAATGGACGCCAGTTGAAAGCATTTAACAAATTATTCGATGATGTATTATTAATACGGTTATGCTGGCTGTTATTATTGCTGCCACCACCGCCATAAACGCCGTCATCAGTCAACACCACATCCAATACAATAAAATCATATTTTGGCACATGTCGCTGATGTTGTTGTTGCTGTTGATGTTTTCGCGGTTGATTTGCGTTCGCTGGTTTATTCGCTAAAATATTTGCAATCAAAAAATCATAAAAATTAAAAAAATCTATGAATTCACGTAGATTTGCAATCAATTGTTGATCGCGTTTAATATTTTCAAATGTTGTTGTTGTTGTTGTTGTTGTTTTTGTTGTAGTTACAGTTGATGATTGTTCATCATCATAAAGTGGTTGTTTGCGGCACAGCTGCTGCGTGAATAATTTGCGTAAATCCTTAATCAAATGCTCCGCTAAAATCTCACGCTGGTTGACCTTACGCTGTTCATTTCGTAGATAAAGCCAACAATTCTCTATGATTTGTTCCTGATGTTGACAAATGTGTCGGTTATCATTAATATTAAAGAAATTCAAAGAAGAACAGGCTTTCAGCCATTTATATGTAAAGTTTGTATGGTTTATGTCGCTTAAATACAACTGACTCCTCTTGTCATCGCTACTGGTTGTGGAGGAGGAGGAGGAGGAAAAGTCCTGCGATAATACCTTAGCATTCGGCCAATACTCAAGGCTATCGTTGGTATGTTGCGAGTCGGTAATTGCAATTGTTTTCAAACGTTTAAGTTGACGGAAATTTTGCACCATTTGTATGCCATTATCTTCGAAGGCTACATTTAGAAAATGACGGTAATTATCGCTGAGCACGGTTAGTAGCAAAAGATTAGACATTAATGATGACCGTGGATTAATGCGTGACAAATGCTTATAAAACTGGTTCTTAGCATTGAAAGATGCCGCCATAATGTCTATTAACAGCACCTTAGTATATAATAAAGTTTCCAGTTTGTTAAGTAAACGCAATGTGCTTATATCGTTCATAACGGCTGTGAGAATAATAGCTTTGGAGAAATTGATGAAGAAAAGAAAATTCATAAACATATACATCTGTCCATTAGCACGGTCAGATGCGCGTTTTATCAGTTAAATGTTACCTTTGCCTATTTTATCGGATGCATGAAGACTATGTATATTATCTTCTCCCATCACAATCTTATATGGTATATGCAGATTGGCTGCTATGGTCATTGGTAAAGCCCAATTTTCATCTAAACGAGAAAGACAAAAATGGCGAATGAATAAACATTACCATAAATAGCTAAATTAAATTAAAAAATTCTACTCCTAATGTTTTGTGTGTTTTCATTGCTTATTTTCAGTGCAAAACACTCTTTAAAATTTAAATAAACAATTTCGTTTTTATTCCTTTTCTCGATGCTCTCTACCTGGTTAAGGCAAATTGTTTCTTTCATTCAGGTTAAATTTTTCATTCATTTAAAATTATGTAACGGAGATTAAAAAAAAATCTCATAAAGTTATATATGCAATATATACTTTTTATATTTACTGCTAAAAGTATGTTAAACAAATTGTTCAATTTAAATCCATCCCTAGTTATAGGCAAAAGAAATTTTAATTTAATGCTTCCTAAATATTTTGTCTTATAGAATTTCTAAATTAAATGACTTCAATGTTGGCAGTAAATTGGCATACGTTAGATTACCTTTCTTTAACAGCAGACGATAAGAAATATGCTGCTCCTTTGCTTCTAGTTCATCTAACTTACGACCGCCTATGTTTTGCTAATATATATCGCTTAACTCACAACGGTATTTGACTAATGAAAAATTTCATAACCACTTTGGTTTAACAAAAACAATTTTCCCTAATCCACGGTTAAAGTTGCTAACAGTTGCTGATGTGCTAGCGTTCTTTTCAGTCGACAGTGTGATTATAAGATACAGTTTTGTTGTATATAAATACACTCACTGGAACAAATATGAGATTTCTGAAGCTGTTTTAACTTTATTCAGTTGAAATTTGTCAAAGTTTTGTTTGACAGTTTAAAAACAAAGCGTAAACAAGTAAGAATATTTTACTTAGCTAAGGTAAAAAGAATAAATAATTTAAAAAATGAAGGAAGTAGTAAATTTTGATATTCTATTATAAAAGATGATGACATGGCGGATGATGACATGGCGGATTTTTCCATTTTTACATAGCGACTGTATGATCACCCATTGAACAAAGTAGAAATTTTTTTATCGTTTCATCTACGTAGCTCTGTCGCTTATAAGTAAAAAGTAGAAAATCATTTTTTTTTTTTGCTTTTGGAAACGAAGGCATTCTTAATTATGGCAGACTGTACGCCTTTCCTTTGGTTCGGTTTAACACATTTTCACTTCCAATTTATTTTTGCAAAGCTCTTTCCACATATGAAAACGATATGTTCATTTTTGTGACCGGGAGAACGTTTCCCATAGACATTAGACAGGCAGAAGGGCAGGCGGACATGTGCCGATCGATCCCAATCTTGATATACTGACTAAGAATGCATGCATTTAACTGATTATCTGAAGCCTTCTTGCGTAGTAAGCGGGGTTGGTAAACATATTCGCATGCTTGAGTGGTGTACATAAAAAGGATTAGCAGAATGGACGTTTAAGTTAAAATTGCTGAACATTCTTTCTCATTAACAAATATTTCCAATTTTCTTACGATAAAAGTCGCAACTCCTAAGCCTGTGTTCACGTGTTCAAATTCCCATTCGGAACATAACATTTCATCGCAGCTATAGTGAGCGTTCAGTCGGTAAAGGTATAACACCTACCAATGGTGTACACTAGCTCCATTCTCTACCTTTGTCTGGCAATCACCATGTTACTCGCACTGGAAATATTCTCTGAATGGTCACATGTAAGCCAAAAAAGCAAAAAAAATAAGTCTGGAAATGAAGAGGTTGAAGAGGTTGGGTACTTTTTTTGGGGTATATTACCCAAAACATTATAACTTTCTGTAAATAAAGTATGTAGGACGTTTCGAAAAGTGGAAGAGAGATTTATACCTTATAAAATGTTGATTGCCTCAATGACATCAATTTCGACAATCGCCAAAAAAGAAAGAAGTCTGAAAGAGATAAAATGGACTCTTTAATGAACTACACATATTTTAGTGACTACAAAGTTCAATTCTTCCAATTAATTTGTGGGTAGAAATGCATTGTTAGTCGGCAAACTGACTTCTGGTACCTTGAAGCAAAGGCATTTTATATTGGCCAAGGACCTCTGTACACATGCTTATATAACTTCATGTATTTCTATAAGACCTTCAAAGATACATTGGAATAAAAGTTGAAGAGAAAATTAAGGAAGGAAATCTACAGCACAACTCTTCTATTAACCCTCAATTAATTCAACATTCATATGCAACAAATATTGAGAAAATCAAGATAAAAACATTTTCAAGAATTCGCCTTGGTCATACCAATGGATCTTAAAGAAGTCTTCTTCCTTGGTCTGCAATTGTGGACAAATTCTCAGTAGAAAGTATATTCTTTGCGATTGTCTTAACTTCTACTTTACTACAAGTACAGCAGCAGTAAGAGCAACTAGTCCTATGGAAATCCTGAAATCACCTATAGACCGCAATATCAATGCAATATATAACTTTCTTAAAACTATTAGGCTTAATATCTAGTGTTCTTTTCTAAAACAGAGCCGATAGCCAGAGTCGCTACTGCTCAATGTTTTTCCTTTTAGTTTAAGAATTTATTTCATTAGTCTAAAAATTATAATAATAATAATACGAGCCCTTAATTTTAAAAGCAATGAAAACGGAATTGTTTTCTTAAATCCGGTGAATTGATCAAATTATTCTGATTATGCAAAAACCAAAACAAGTCATGGTAATCCGAAAACTCTTTGTAGAGTTATTAGAAATAATTGTTTTTAATTATAACTTATTGTTTAAAAGCATTTAACAATTTTTTTGTTATTGCATTAAAAGAGGCAATACATTTTTTTTACATTTTGCCCCTAAAACTCTGCAATTTAAACATAAGCACTTCTAATGCACATTACGAATAATTTTGCTTGCGCAATTTGTGATAGCGAACATGCTCAGACACCGTAACGAGAATTTTATTCAAAAAATTTTAGCACTCATTGCTGCCAGCCTGCTTATACAATGCACTGAAGACAATGGATGAATGCAAGCTTTATAAAGTTTATTGATAAGTAGCGTGAACAAAAAGAAGAAAAAGAAGAAAAAAAAAAAGGCGAAATAAACAGGCTTAACCAAGCCTGCTCAGATATTGATAAATATTTAATGCTTATGCTTATAAAAGCATGCTTTATTGTTTCAACAAAAGAAGATAAACTAAGAAGCGAGATGTGTTAATTCGCTTATATTCGGCTATTCATGTTTAATAAACTGTTTTAAACGATGCTTTAAAAGGTGCTTTTAGTTTTCCACATACCACACTTCAATCTAAAGGTTTAGCACCGGTTAGCAGTAACATTGGAGTACTGAAGATGCACTTCTTTACATATTCCGAACAACTTACGGTACAAGGGCATCACCCAGAACAATTTGAGGTAGAGTCACCTTTTTTTATACCTTCATTTATACAGAACCATTTTCTGTTTGTCAGTCAGTGTGTCTCTCTGTTCTTCTTGTTTGCTTGCGTTTAACCTACAGGCGGTAATTTTTAAGATATTTTCTTGAAATGTACTACATTGGCGTGTTTTGACTCAAGAGCGAACGCTATTGTAAATGGTTCCACATAAGGACTTATTTTGAAAAGTCATTATATGGATAATTGTAGGATGGTGTAGGGCATTTAATGGTACGCCGCGCTCCCCTATTGTTTTTTTTTTTTTTTTTTTTTTTTTTTTTGTAAGTATGAACCGACTATCAGGAGATATCCTCTGTACGATAAAGATGAGAGAAATAGGGGGTAGTGGCAGTCTGGGATGTCAACGTCCGACTGATATTTGCTATGGGTCTATTAATCGAGCGTTCGCCATAGCTCGACTATACGTTAATCGTAATTAAAATGCGGTCTATTGCACTTGGAATTCGAAGCGTCTATGCTGTCTTCTTTTCCTTACCCGCTAGGATATGTGAAAAACCTTAATGAAAAAAAAACATAGGAAAGAAAGTTTTTTCATAAATAAAAGAGTTGGGGCGAAACTTTATTTCTGGATGAATCGTTCCTTTTGTCGGTTAAATAGCGTGGCCGAAACCTTAAAATCGTTCAATTTATCTCGAAAAACATCATTTTAGTAATCGTCTGTCATTGTATAAAAGAAAGTACGGTCTCATGACTCCTCCTTCTGATGTTATTTCTTGTCTTAATTCTTGTGTATCTATGGATATGTATTAACTTTCTGTTACGATAGAAAGATAGACACAAATATAGAGTCTAAAATTTATACAATTGAAATTTGTTAAGAAGTCATTGTTAAAATAAATTATATAAAATATACGAATTTAAATAGTACATAGAGAGGTCTACAAAACTTATTCCTATGAAATTTTATTTTTAAATTATTTTTATTATTAATTGTAAATCTTATCACAGTTTATCTAGTTACTAATATTCAAAAAATGCCTTAATTTATCTTATAACTGCATTAAAAGCGATTAACACGTAACTAATACGTTTGCACATTGTTGTAACCCCGTCTGTCAAAACCTTAAACTGGTAAGCCCTTTAGCTGTTTCATAGATTGCATTTACAAAGCATTCAAATATTCCGCTCACATAAAATATCCATAAACATATTTTCAAGTGAAAAATTTTAATAGACTTTCTTTCCGCATATAACACATTTACAAGCGTTCCCATAAAATTAAAAACAAAAAAAATAGTGTACTTTTGGGGATTTTTTACAATTAATGGCATTAATTTGTCTGCAGATACCTCGTTTCACATTTAAAAAACACTAATTGAGTTTGCGAAAGTGCTAAAAACTGCTCCGGTAGGCGTTTAAACACATTTACACGTACATACCCCTATATATCTGCATTACATTTACATTGTAGCACACACAGCAGAAATGCTTGCTCAGCGAATTCAAATATTTGAGTATAAATTAAATTGCTTTACATGTTGTCGGTATATTACCGTGTAAATGCCCTCTCGGTATATGTTTGATATAAACTTTCATAAATGTATTGTTATAAACAAAATAAAAAAAAAAAGAACAAGGCTAAAGCGAAATAATATGATTATGAAACATCTTAATAGTTCACTTAAATTAGTT